ATTGTAATGTAAACCTACAATAACTTACGACAATGTAGAAGTGTTCAAACATGTAGAAACAAACTAGTTACCCTTGCCTTACAATGGTATTGCAATCGAATATGTGTGTGTATTTATGTTTCTGCGTGAGTATCTCAAAAACCAATAGGCCAATCTCAACGAAAGTTTTACACAAGATGGGAAGTCAATATGGAACAGTCCTCCCCAAATTCTGGATCACTTTCAAGCATTTCTTATAATGGGGAGATTAAGAATTTTCGCAGTTTTCGGTTAATAACTCTCTAAAGCGTGATCAGATTTGTATCGAATTTCATGGACACATTAAGGTTGAAACTCCTCATCAAACTTTATAAAATTATTCGAATTGTTGATCATTCTGGATCTGAGAAGGATTTCCAGAATTTTCGAAGATGAAATTTTACGTTATCCAATATAAATGCATGGTCCCACCATGGGACTGCCGTAAGTCTTCGGATTTACAACGCTAAAATCAGGGGTTCGATTCCCCTCAGTGGACACAGCAGATAGCCTGATGTGGCTTTGCTATAATAAAACACACTCGTTAATATTGTTGGTTAATTTTATTATTGTTGTTACTTCACAATGATTAAAACATTCTTATGATCTTAATACTAGAAATAAACTACCCTATAACACCAAATTGTTGTTTTTCCTTAATTGGACACTCAATGTTTCGCTCTTTATAAACAACATGAAAGAAGCGCAGTTGCAGCTCATCTGAAACCACTATTCTCCATACAAATCCTCACCAAAGCCACCGAGTACACTGACAGAAAATTTAAAGAGGCTCTTCTCATCGAACAACTATGACCACAGATGAATAGGGACAAAGGATGGTACCTATAATTCTTATTTATTTATTTTCGTCCTATCTTTTTGTTATTTCAATCTTTAACTTGGATAGAACTTTTGTTTACTACAGAAAGGCATGCAAGCTGCAGAAAGGCACACTATAGACTATATTATAATTTATTATTTAAATAATTTGAAGCTTTGTACTATCAGTTACGGTTTGTATTTTGGTGGAATGCTCCAGAAGAAGCTGCCAAGCTAAACATTAAGTGTCCAATTAAAACAAACAAACAACAATTTGGTGTTATAAGGCCATTTTTTCTAGTATTAAAATGTTTTCTATACACCAATATGCACTACAGAAATTAAATAATTCTTATTATCAGATATTTTCTACTCAGCTAAATTTTCATTACTTTCTTATGACTGAGAATGAGATAAGTATAGAAGTTTAACAATGCATGGTCGTATTCACATATGTAGGTAACCCTCGAAGCAACAGGTGTATTCTTGGAAACATAATAAAATACAAAGAGATATATGTTTTAATATTTTACTACTCATCTGAAACTTGAAACTGATAAAATCTGAGAGATTTGAAAGGTAATATCCTTTCATAGTGATGGTGCAAAAACCTCAAACTCACGTATCTAATATATCGCATTTCGAGACAGAAACAAATGCTACTTATGTATCTCATATATGTTATGATTCTCCTGTTCACACACAAAAGAATGCCTGCATTAGCCTCGACTAACAATAGACTTTACAATGTCCCAAGAATTATTTCTTTTAACATAAAACAAAACAATATATGTAGCATGAATATAGATGCTGAGCAAAATAAAAATGTCTGATAACACTGAGCAACAAAAATAAACAAATAAATTATTTGCTACTAAAAAAATGCAACTGTTTCTGAGTAATTTACAGATATTGATTTTAAAAATCATGTTGAAAATTAAATTTTCAACTGCTCACTTCTAGCTTTTGAGTTATGATAGATTTATTTAAAATATTCTTATATATTGTGATAATAACTTTTCTTTTTATTTATTTAATAACTTTATTTAGTCATTGAAAATTGCACTTAAGAATGTACAATCTGCATATTTTGATGTATTTCATGTTCATAACATGAATTGATGGCTTAGTGTTTCCATTATGCAAAATTACAGCTTTCAGATTAACTTTAGATGAGTCTATAAAAAGTCTCCCATTTTTGAGGATGATGTTCAGTACCTACTTCTTCCATTAGTTTATCAACATTTGTATGGAAACACAAACTATCTTGCATGCTGTAATGAGAAACAAGACTTTGATGATGACTTCGATAAATTGAAACTCTTGTTCCTGAAGCTAATAAATTCCATTGCTGTAAACAAGAGCCACGAAGTTCCCCATGCTACTTTGATAGAGACAAGTCATGAATCAGATCATTTAGCTCTTCTTGTGTGATCAGATGAGGCAGTTAATATTGAGGTGCCACAGGAATGGAATTACTAGATGAAGAGGATGAAGTTGATAACTCTTCTGTTACCCAATTCACTGGTGGATGTGGCACTGAAAGACCATTCCCATGAGGTACTGCTTTCATTGCAGATGCAATATCTGGATATTTAATGTATTGTTTAGTTTTGCCTGAATATCCAGAAACATTAGTCCTTCAAAAATAACAGTCAGTTACATGATCTTTGGAATCATGCCATATCATGGGGACTGAAAGTGGCATACTTGCTCTTTTCATGCTACTGTGTCTAGCCTGTGTCTAGCCACACACATGTGGAGCCCAATGTTTTTCTTGGTCACCAATTTTACAGCCAAAATAGTGGTAGTAAGCTACCTTTACCTTGTGTGTGATGTTTTTCTTTCATGAAACTGTAATATATTTTTCATAAATGTTGCAGAAACTGTTTGGGTGATTTTTTGTACTTTTGGATTTTACTTGAGCTGGGGGCAGCCAGCATTTCAAATGATTTTCCAAAAAATATATAATAATTTATGTTTACAGAACTAGAGTTTATAATGTTTTAAAAAACAAATTAATGCAGAATTTGATTATATTACAGTTAAGTATTCATATGCAGCTCAGAATACGTGGATGCCCTATGTTTTCAAAACTTTACAAATCTTTCTGTAAAGAACAAATCAACAATAAACACATTGTACAGCAATAAACACAGTTTTTGTTTTAGTGGAATACTCCTGAGAAAGCTGTAAAGCAAAAGGTAGAATGTTGAAACAATAACAAAATAAATTACTATTATAATGTTATTTATTTCTAAAATTTAAATGCCTTTTGTACCCCAATATGCATTACAGAAATTAAATTGTGTAATGTTTAATTTTTTTTTTTTATCTTACCTTGGCCAAGCCCATCATAAACGAAATTTTTTATAAGCAGAGTATACTCATCAACAGCATAAACTTCTCCTGTTACCTGATGTGCATAAGTGTTAAACTTTCCCAGATATAAACCTTGATAGTCTTCCTCACAAACCAGGAAGCCTGAAAGTAATGAAATCAAATAAAATGTTAAGAAAAATCTAATAAAGAAATTTTTATTTAAACAAATGTGAGTTGAAATTATCATGACTGTAATCCTTCCATAATTTAGAAACTGGATATATCTTTTATTTAGGTATACTGTACTAGATATTAGTGGTGTTATGATCACTCAGATAACTGGTTATGGTTCAACTGGAAGCTCTAATTGCTACTCAAAGTCATTGTTTATTGTTTCTTTCTATATATAGTTTCATTTATATTGCCACATGTCATGCATTGAAATTTGAAATGCTTCATATGGTTACCCACTTCTTTTGTCAAAAACATGTAGCAACTTGAACTGATGTTTATGATTTTGTGATGGTGATGTTATGCCTTCACAAGACAAAGTGTTTTGATTTTTGGCAATGGATGGCAGAGGATACTGTGTACCTGTTGAGCTTGCAGATGGTAATAGACCCTCGTAAGTTTCTAATTTTTAAGATCTTCCTTTCTGAACACTGAACTGTCTAGTTTGTGCAGGTACTTCTTCACTACACCAACATCAATCATAACTGGAATTCCAGTTATATTTTTTGACTAATCTGATAGGCTTTCAACATAGGATGCAGTGAAAGTCTAGAAAACTCTAGATGTTTTTGTTTTTTTTCATCCAGGTAGTGTTCAGTTTTGCTTTCCTACTATTAAAACCTGAAGTAAACTGTAAATAAATATCTAAAGCTTCTCTCCCTACACCATTGGTGGGAATTCCTCTTTATAAACTAAGATTTCTCAACTGATTGTGAGTTACTGCTTTATTTCTTTCTTTGATGATAGTATCTTACTCTAGCATCTTGCCTTATGTGTATGTATGAAAACTAAATACCACACGTGGCAAACCCTAGATATGAAAGTTAAAAAATTAAATGCTATACAGCACAAAAGGAAATACACATACAGAGCATTTCTGATTTTAAACACATGAGCTGAGGCGGTAATCTTAATGTACGTTCATCTGAATTATTTCATGTATTTTGTTCTTAAAATTTAAACAGAGGACAGATTTAATAATCTATTTGCCTTTAAATACAGGAGTGAATAATCAAAACTCAACACAAAGAAAAACATGACCCCATAATTTGTGTCAACTCCACAAAATAACAACAACAGTTCTTAAATTTGGTAGACTCTAAGTCAAACAAGTTAATTAGTTATGAATCAATTCAAGCATTACACGTAACTGGTTAGAAAAATTTCAAATCATGACATTTCTAGTACAGATGTCTGTATTTAGTTGGACATTCTATATAAATAGTGGACAATCTAAGTTAATTTGCCACTTCATATGCAGTCCTCAAACACCCTCATGGATTCCAAGACCTCCTTTACCAGTCATAAACCAAAGATTTCTCAAGAGAATGAAAATTTGCTACATATGAAATATATTAAAGTTGAAATGACTCTATGCTAACAATTGTAAAAAGTTAACATTTTCCTAAACTGAAAATGTATTTCCAATAGATACTTACCTCTCTCACAAAAAGCTTTCTCAAAGTCTGCTGCTCTCTATCAGCACAAATTTTTGCTCGCCACTAGTCTTAATACTTCCACTTGCCATCACCTGAAATTGTACATCAGTTCTGCAGTAGGAAGAGTGTCCTCTACCTTTCACCTCAAGAACAGGTACCAGCAGGGAAGAGGAACTTCTGTACCAAGAACCCACCTCCACAGGCATGTAGCCCCAACAACAGACCTACCAGGAACTGACATCCGACTAATGATAGGAAGGTAGTGGGCCCATACGGATGTTCATCTCCAATCCAAAACCTGGCAGCATTGTGAATTTTTTTTCCAGTCTGTGGTAGGAGGAGGGTACCCAACTTTACACTTGTAGGAATTCATATGTTTCATCCAGTTACAACCAACACCAGATCCACTGGGACATCCAATGAACAGTAGGAAGAGGGATGGGAATATGGGATGCATCTCCAGTCC